CAAAAAGGTGGATTTTTTTGATCACATAACAAAAACAAATGGTTGATTGGTTTTTGTTGAAATTTTTTGCAATCAGAAATCCCCAACTCAATTCTGAGTTTGATCACATGTTTGGATTAGTTACGACGAACGATCAGAAATGAACAGGCCTAGTGTCCGTCTTCTAAAATTATCATGTGAATCGATCACCTGATCAATATCAGAAAATTTCGAATAGGCTTAGAAGGTCAATTGCAAAGAATAACGACGTCCATTATCTCAAGTTAAAATTACTCTAACAAGTCCTAAGATAAAACTTTGATATTATTGCGAGTTTATCAATAACTTGGGTTTTATTTACAAAGAAAAAAAATCGAAATGAGACCTTTTAATTATATAATAATAATTTTATATAGATTATAATATATTATTATTTATTATATTAATATAATTTTTATAATTTATTAAGAAATATAATATTATATAATTATAATTAAAATTAAAATTTTACATTTTATAAACTTGTAAGCAAATTTAACTTACTAAACAATCTAAGAAATAATTTATAATTAATTAAAAGATTAAATTTTATTTTTAAAATTTAGTAATATCAATATATTATTATTTTAAAATGAATCATTTTTATAGTTGAATCAATAGTAATAAATATTTTTTAAGTAATTAATAAATTTAAAAATTTTATTTAAATATATTACATATATTACTTATAACATAATAATTATATTTATAATCAATTTCTGTTTTTATATAGTTTAATCTTTGTTTAATATATTATTTTTGATATTAATTATTTAAACTAATATTTAGTAAAAATTTTACTATCAAATTTTTTTTTTTTTAATAAATTTTTATAATTAGCTTAATTGATTAATATTTTTTTAATAATAAATAATAAGATTTTCTATAAATAATCTTTTAATAATTATTTTATGAGAATTAATTATAAAATAAATAATCACAATCATAGTAATTAATAATATATATAATATTTTTATTTTTATAATTAAATATTTGATGGGAATACAGGTGATGGGGGCGTGACGCGTAATCTAATCTGATTTGGTATAACTGTTAAAGTCTTGTTTTATATCACATGTCATTAGTTGTACTTATTAATACGGCATAATAGTTGACTTTTGTGGCTTTCTAAAAAAATAATTTATTGACATTAGATTGAGTCCGCCGAAGAGTTTTCAATTGATATACGTGAACGAATAATATACAACTGGTCAACCTTGCTTTTTATATTTTCTGCAGGAAATAATTTCATTAGAATAAACTTAATAATGGCCACCAAGGCAGCATTTAAAAGATTAAGCAAAGAATACAATAACCTCCAGAGAGTATGCAATATTATTTTACATCTTATATTTGCTTTTATATTGTAATGAAAGATATATCTGATACTTTTTAACTTTTGAACGTTAAGAACCCACCACCATATTTGATGGCAAAGCCTCTCGAAAGTAATATTTTGGAATGGTAATTTTCTTATAAATTCTCCCTCTAGATCAGAGATTGATTAACCTGTTTTAGCTTACTTAACTTACAATGTGATATTATAAAGGGTGATTAATAACTTTCTTTTTCTATTAGGCATTATGTTATTCGTGGACCTCCGGATACACCATATCATAACGGAGAGTATCATGGTAAATATTACAAGATCTTTAAAGTTAACTTCACATTTTTTACACACGTTATTAATTTAATTGGTATAATCATCTTTATAGGTGTCTTATTATTTCCTGCTGAATATCCCTTTAAACCTCCCTCAATTCGTATGACAACACCTTCTGGTATTTATACGTTTAATCATATAAATCTTTATATTAAATTTATTATTAAAATTCTTTTATTATTTTGTTCATTAGGACGGTTCCAGCCTGACACTAGATTATGTTTATCTATGTCAGATTTTCATCCAAGTACTTGGAACCCTGCCTGGAGTGTTCCTACTATATTGACTGGATTATTGAGTTTCATGGTGTTGTATTATTCTTTTTTAGTACATGTTATATAATTAAACCTGCAGTTCAAATTATTTTGCAAAAGTCACATTCAATACAACGCGAAATCTTATTATTTAAATTTGAGGACTTTGAGACATTTCCATTTCGACATTTGGGCTGCACTTATGTGTAATTATTGTATTTTATGCTATATTAATATTATCTTTTGCATTTATAATTTTAGACCAGTAATGAAGCTACTACAGGGAGTATCAAGACAACAGATGCCGATAAAAGAATATATGCTGCACGATCACATCAATTCAATCTGAATAATCCAAAGTTCAAAGGTACGTACGTAAGCAGAATTGATATAGAATAAATTCAATTATTGTTTTATTAAATTAATTATTTGATTATTTCCTTTTTTATAATTAGAGATTTTTCCTGAACTCTGTGTCCCAGAATGTGTACCTGTTGAAGTTCTTTATCCAATTCATAATTCATCATCAAATAACATTGCAACAAACGGAAATGAAATTTCACAAAATGATAAGCAATTTCCTCAGGTAGCAAGACGAAATGAGACAAATCAACAAGTTCCTTTAGTGGACGGTAGAAATCAAATTCAGCAACGTAGGCTCAATAATCGTAACGAAAATCCTTTGCGAGGTATTGTTGCAGGTGGAACTCTCGCGGCTCATACCGAGAATGCTAATAACATTAGGGCCAATGGTAGTAATAATCCGCAAGGTAACACAAATAATAATGTTGCGGGTCAACGAGGAATTTTCGATCAATGGCGTAAATGGATAATAGTATCTTTAGTATGCCTTTATCTTGTTATAACAAAATTGCTAGCTCGAAGTAGTGGAGGAGAACCTAGTATGTGATAGAAACCTTGCAAGTAGATCATATTAAACTATGGTGATTTGCGGAATTACAGGTGATTTTTTTAAAAATATTCAGAGGTAAACAGGAAAGGTGCATAGTTGCGAAAACTTTGTTATTTCGTATATTAACAGAAGAAAATATCATTTTTCTTCTGTCATTATATTGATTATATTTTACAGCATTTAAGAGCAGATCAAAAAAATATAATATTATAATATACATCTATAATATATATTAGTAAATATACATCTATAATATATATTAGTAAATATACATCTATAATATATATTAGTAAATATATATATATATATATGTATATATATAAAGAAGATATTATTTGTATTTACGTTTTATTTTTGTAAAAGACCATGTTTGGATGGAGGTTTCCTATTGTTATTAAGAAAAATAGAAGGGTTTGTTCTTTTTTTTTTCATTTTACCATAAAAAGCATCATTTAACAAGAAATAAAATTATTTGCTTTTAGTTCAATTATTGTTTTTATTTATGTTTTGTTTATATTGCTTGATATTTTTTAATCAGATTTATTTATTCATGTAATGAAGTACAGATTAAATTTGGTAATAAAGTAATACTAAAAAATAACGCGGTTGAATCGGAGGGAGATTATTTAGACTAATTTAGGGTTGAACGGATAAAAATATAGTGTATAAAAAGGAAACAACCAGAATAGAAGTTTGATGAACATACATTTGGTGTAACAAAATTTATATAAATATGTTGTTCGTTTTATTATAATAATCATTATTACATTTTTTTCGTTAAAAAAATTTAAAAACAAAGAATAAAAAATAATTGCATTCTTTTTTATTTTTTTTTTCTATAGAAAAGTGGAGTCCTTAATATATTTGGGTTTAGTTATACTAGTTATACTTATTTTTGGTTTTATTAAATTTATGCCAAAAAGAATCCCTTCTAGGAGGTCCTTATCACCTTTTTTACAAAAGGTGATGCCAAAACCAAAAAATTATGTATTTTGTTATTACGTGTCAGGACATGGTAAGTTTTAGGATAAGTTGTTTCTTTCGTTTCTCAATCTTATTTAAATGGATTTTTTACCACTTTTAATAGGATTTGGGCATGCCACTAGAGTAGTGCAAGTAGCATCAGAAATATTGAGTTTACAAAGAAATCATACATTATATATCATATCAAATGCACCAAAATTTATATTTCAAGGAGCAATAGATTTAGGAGCAAGATATAGAAATGCGCCGATAGATGCGGGAGTAAAGCAACCTAGAGCATACACTGTAGATAGACAAGAAACTATTAATGATTTAATAAAATTTTTAGATAATAAACCTGTAATGTTAGAAAGAGAAATTCAATGGTTAAAAGAATTTAAAGCCGATATTGTATTATCTGATGCACCTTTTCTTCCATGGTAAGTAAAAATAAAATATTATTTATATCTATTTTTTTTTTAAAAAAAAAAAAAAAAAGTGAGCAAATTGTAAATAAGTTTTCTTTTTTTTTTACATAGTGCAGCAGCGGCGGCGGCTGGAATACCATCAGTTATTATTAGTAACTTTACTTTTGATGCGGTGTATAATGGATTATGTGAAGGCGATGAATTTGATAATACAATAAAAAAACTTGTTGAACAAGTTATAGAAGATTATAAACATTCCGAATTATTAATTAGATTACCAGGTCACATACCAATACCATCATTTTCGGGTACCCAACTTTATCCTTGTAATACTATAACACCACCATCTTCTGAAAAATCGTTTTTATTGTATAATGAAGAAAAATTAGTAAATTATCTTAGTGATATTAATGCTTTTTTTTCTCCATCTTCCAAATTATTCAAACAATATCGTAATGTAATTGATGTACCTCTGGTGGTACGTAAATCAAAAACTTGTAAAGAAATTGTACTAAAAAATCTTGGTATACCAAAAAAAATTTTTAATTCTCATAAAATTTTAATGGTGTCTTTTGGTGGACAAAATTTAGTCGGTATAGAAGATTGGGGCACATCTTCTTTACCTGATAATTGGATAGCTATTGTGTGTGGTAGTATGAGTACTAAATTACCTGAGAGGTTTTATTCTTGTCCAAAAGATGCTTATATACCTGATTTAACTAATGCTGCCGATGCTGTTATTGGTAAATTAGTAAGTATAAAGTTATTTTTTTTTTTTTTTTTAAAAAAAAATATATTTATGATAAGAATTTTCCAACTTTTAGGGATACGGTACTTGTTCAGAATGTATCGGTCATGGAAAACCTTTTATTTATATTTCAAGACCTCAGTTTATTGAAGAATTAGGATTAAAACGTTTAATGGAATCACAAGGAATCTGTGTTGAAATGCCAAAATCTCATTTTGAATCTGGTCAATGGAAATCTTATATAGATAAAGCATACGATCTATCATCATCATTACCAACACGTACTACAACAATTAAACCTTTATCCCATGATGGTGGTTATATTACTGCTATTATATTAGAAAAATTTTTAGATAATCGTAATTATTATATCAATACTTCCTCTAACAATAAGAATAATTCTTCCCTTATTAGTAATATTCATAAAACTAATACTAAATTATTGAACAATGGTCTATATTAATTTGGAAAATTCATTTCATATATAAGGACCCTTTTTATATATACATATATATTTATAGATATTATATAGATAAATAGATAATAAGTTATATATACATTATTATTGTTATTCTTGTTATTATTATTATTATTATTATTATCATTTCTTAATCATATTCATTTTCCTATTCCCTTTTTTTTTAATTTTTTTTTTTTTTTTTTTTTTTTTTTTGTTAATACTTTTTAAAACTATATTAAGAATAAAATAAAGGCCATGGAACTTATAAATACGCAAATTTTATCTTTGCCATCTTAAAGATCAAAATCTTTTATATAAAATTTTCCTTTATTAAAGGATTCTTTGAATTAAATGAATTTCAAAAGATTAAAAAATGTTTTTCATTTCAAAAATTGAAGCTAACAGGACTTACTCTCTTTTGCTCCATATAATAATTAGTCAGGTACTTCACAATATATTATATTTATAACTTAATTCATTACCAACGACATATTACGACTCTAATTAAAAATAAATACGCAATGCCTGATTTGCTGTGCTTTCATGAGGACAATACGGGCATTTGAAGCGACTAGGAAAAAAAAAAGGTTATTGTAAAATTTATCTAACTAAAAATTTAAAAACATAAGAACATGACTCACTCACCTATTACCTCTACTTAATTTATTAAGAGACTCTTTGCAAATCACGTGTCCGCAAGGCAACATCATTGGAGGATTTTCCTCGGTGGATTGCTCTTTAGAAACTGGACAGGCAAAAATTGAATGATACCGCATATAATCAGGTAGAGGGACTTCAACCTATAAGGAAGAAAGATTGTTCTAATATTGAAACGATAAATCTTAAATTTTATTTTATTTTTACTGTTGAATCTTACAGGTAATTCATCTTGTTGACTCCATTCGTTCTTCTTTTCTTTCATAATAGTAGCCATTTTTAAGATTGTGGGTAAAGCAGTTGCACCTACCGTTACACTGATCAATTAATCAACATATATATTTATTAGAGATGATTATCGCTAAATACAGTTACTGATTTCGTATTTACCTAATATATAGAGGGCTCTCACTTGACATTCCTAAAAGATTACAAAAGTCACGCATAAACTTATTTTGTAATTCAATCCACAAATCGGGAGACAAAAGATCTTTATATGGCGATGTTGATAAACGAGTTTTAAAAGCTAAGGCACACATCAATCGTTGTATATCTGATAAACGAAAACACTTATATTAGTTTTACTATTTTTTAAAATATAAATTACTTACATAAATATTACCAAAGATATGACGTGCTCGGAAGAGATAAAATTTCCTTCTGGCATACGCTAATGCCTCTTCTTGACGATCAATAAGAAGTTGAACATAACGCTGTCGATGAAGCTCAAATTCTAATGTGCTACCTCTTTTTTCAAGTTCTTTGCTTTTTAACCTTGCCCATCTAAATAATTTGGTACAGTAAATTATTTGTTATAAATCATAATTATGATCACAACCAAATAAGGAAAATAAAATAGCGTTACTCTATAGCAGGCTCTAAATTTTCGAGTTTTATGGCTCCTAGAATTTGATACATTTCGTGGAATTGTGTCTGTATTGTATCAGGAATACATAATTGTGCTTCCTAGTATTCATTAGATTTTTTATTTTATTCTTTTTTTAATAATTCAAACAAAACAACAAAAATCAAAAAGATCAATAAAAAAAATTATATTACCCTTATAAATCTATTTGCTAGTTCAAACCTGCCCTCACGTATGAAGTGTAAAGCCACCGTTGTATTGAGAACCTTTTCTTTATTGGCAAATACTTCCGGGTTACTTGCAATAGTTATGTCATTTTTCCATTTCTGCAATAATATAAAAGATGATTAAAAATAATAGCATAAAACCAGGATAAGCTTTATTAAAATCCTTTATATACCTTGTCTACTATTTTCTCATAACGTGCTATTACTTTTTGAAATTCTTTGTGAGATTCTAAAGCTTTTGCTGCAAGTTCTTTGAAATTTTGTTCCAATTTCTTTAATGAAACGCCGGCGTTCTCAGGATCTGCAAAAAAGACAAGTACTTAAAAATTATAGTTATTTGATCTATAAAAATGAGGAATTAATACATTACCATTTTCTAAGCGTTTTTGAGCTTCTTGTATTTCATTAATCATCTTTTCAATGTTGTCAACCGTTAAATCAGCTACCTCTTGTTGCTTTTTCTCCACTTTTGAAAATTCCTTTGAAATTGATTCCATCGTGGTAGACTAATTATTTATAACAATAAGTACAAGAAGTAAAGGAAGTTGTAATGATTTCAAAAAACTCTTTGATCATCATCTTTTTTGATCAGATCTACATTTTAGCTGAAAAAGCTAAATTAGCTTAGTAAATAAATGTCAGATTGTTCATTGTTTCTGGATCGCCGATTTAATTTTTGTGATACTTTACGTATATAAATCACGTGTTAATTCCAAATAATTCTTTTTTTTTTTTTTTTTTTTTTTTTTTTTTTTTTTTTAATTTGATAATCTTTTAAATTAATTTCCATCTGTTTTTATAGTACTAGTCATACATCATCTTTAATGTTTGTATTAACACCTTTAGTTATCTACTTTATCAAAGGTTTTAAGTATTCCTTGATAAATAAATCTATTTGTAAGATTAATTATCTTGTCAAATAATCTTTCAATCATTTCCTGGATTTTATCAATTAGTCTTCTTTGTTGTACTTTTATTCTTTTTTTTTTCATGTAAATTTGAACAACCAAATGCGGAATCAATCTATCGAGAATCGAAATTTAAGGCCGAGACAAAACGAAGGGCTTTCTAAGCATACTATGGTTACCTCCCGTAAACTTTTTTTACAAATTTATAGAAATGTGCCAAAAATCTTGTCCAAACATTTTATTCGGCAACCTTATCCATATAATAAAGCTATTGTGTTAAATTGGTCTCCTCTTATTAAATCCTCAAATTTTTTACGAACTTTTGAAGAAGCTTCCTTGTCTATTAATTTAAGAATGTGGAACTGGAGGTTTGCAATAACTAAATATACGAGACGAAAACATTCAGCTCTTACGCCAGTAACAACGAAAGAAAAAAAAAGTCAAACAGAATTGGAAGTTGTTTACACATGTGATCAAATTAATCAGCGATATCTTCAACATTTAATCGATTGTTTTCGAAAAAAATTGGAAAGAAGGAGTACTGATGACATATTTTCAACATATGACGATTTATCAAAAAAGGACGCTTTGCGGTTTCTTAATATGAACGATTACACACGATTAATAACTCGATTGAAAGATTACGATTCAAAAGATTTTGCATTACATTGGCTAAATCGATTTTTTAGTGATATGAAATTCGTCAATTTGAGTTTATCCCTATATACATATGGATTAATGATAACGATGTATGGGAAATGGGGAGAGTATGACAAGGCAGAAAATATTTTTGTTGAAATATGTCAAAAGAACATTTCATATGATGTTTACACGTATAATAAATTTATTTATATATATGCAAATATAGGTAATCTACATCGCGTTTATCAATTATTACAAGATATGAAATCCAAATCAATTCATCCGATCCTATCAACTTACAATATCATTATTTTGGCATACATACGAAATAAGAATATAACAGGCGCTCTAAGCTTATTACATGAAATTGAAGAAAAAGGGTTACAACCTGATGTTGTAACTTTCAATACCATTATCAATGGATTTTTGCAACTTCATGATTTTAAGAATGCGGAAAGATGTTTTGAAACAATGTCATCCATGAGAGTTAGACCCAACGCGAGAACATTCAACACATTAATGTCAAGTTATTTTAAAATAAGAAATTACCAATATGTGGAAAAACTTTACAATAGGATGATCGAAATGAAAATTCAACCAAGTCCAGATTCATACTTTACATTAATGTCGGCTTACGTTCATTCTGGTAAGAAGCAGCAAGCTTTAAAAATCATGAATCAATTAAATGCTCGTGATTGGAAAAGCTTACGAGTTTACAACATGCTTATACATTTGTACATACAACTTGATGACTTTTCCATGGCACGTGAGATATTTTGTCAGATATCAGAATCAGCATTAAAGCCTAATGTTGTTACTTTCAATACTTTTATCAACGGCTATATTGATCGACAAAACCTGAAAGATGCAATCAAATACTTTGATGAAATGGTTAAATCCGGGATTTCCCCAAATGTTAAAGTTTACAATACGTTATTGAAAGGGTATTTAAATGCTTACGGAATTTCAACTGTAGAAAAAATATTTACTCAAATGTCTGCTTATGACATTGCTCCTGATGTTATCTCTTATAACACTTTGATACAATATATCAAGGGACAAAACAAAATAGATGATTTCGAAAGAGCGATTGATCAATATCGAATAATGGTTAAAAGGTTGGTTAAGCCTTCTGATCGAACTTTTAACATATTGTTGAATTTAGTGACGATGAGGGACGTTAGGAGGGATATATTACATCATCGTCAACTTACTAAATACCAAGAATCTGAGGAACTGGCAGAATTGACCGTAGAAGATATTTTAAGAGAGATGAAATCAAAAGGTTTTATAATAGATGTTGTCACTTATTCTATTCTGATAAAAAACTATGTACAATATAAGAAAATGGATGAGGCCGAAAAATTATTGCAACAGATGACAAATAACGACATAAAACCTAACCAATACATTTTCAATATAATGATTGACGGCTATAGCAAATCGTATAATATGATTATGGCACAGCAAACAGTTAAAAGGATGATTAATTCAGGATTTCAGAAGGATCAAAAAGCATATACATCTCTAATTAATGGATATGTTACTATTGGTGAATTTAGGGAAGGTCAGAGAGAATTTGAGGAAATGAAACGATCTGGGGTAATTCTAGACAACATTGTTTATTCTTCTCTCATAGATATGTTCGCCAACGAAAAAAATATACGAAATGCACAAAAAATTTTTGATTATATGCGTATACAAGGAATTCCTATGGATAAAATAACATATACTGTACTTATGAAAGCATATGCTTTAAATGGAAACATTAAAGGCGCAAGTTCTATTTACAATGAAATGATTAAAGAAGGGTGTGAGCCAGATGAAGTAGTGATATCTACGATGCTATCTGCATATAAACGAGGAAAGAACATTAAGGGTGTGATTGATTTTCTTAAAGATTCTAAAATAAATATGTATCTCAGCACACGAAATTACAATATTCTTTTGAACATGCTTGCTCAGGAAAGAGATTTATCAGGAGCATATAAATTATTCATGAAAATGTTAGAAAGTTACGATCATTCATCGAAGTCTTCATTGCAAGTAAATACTACTTTAACATCCATCAATTCACATACACAATTTCGACATCCACCACCTGATCTAGATAGTCTTAAAATAATCCTTAAACGATTCAGTTATTTTCGGCGATGGGATTTGATTATGCTAATATGGGATGCAACAGATCAAAGAGAGATCAAACCTTCTATTGAAGATTTTTTGATATTTATAAAAGCGTTTGTTATGGAGAGAGACAGGAAAAAATTGATGCAGGTTTGTGAAAAGTTCATAATTCAGGATCCTCCGTACCATCTTGTTTCGCATATGAAACAAATTCTTTTGAATTATGGCATACCTGCTGAATTTATAAATGAACTAAGCGAAAATTTAAAAAACAGGAATTTCACATGAATTATTTATTATTGAGTTTTGAAAGCTTTTTTTTTTTTTTAAAAAAAAAAAAATAAATAAATAAATAAAGGTTTTTGCTATATTGTTACTACAATTATACCAAAATTTATGATCATACATAATACTACACAATATATCTAATATTATATACTTCTATACTGCAAAATTACTCTCGCGTCTTCTAACTTACTTTTGAAAGTGTTCTAAACTTCTATCTAAAAATATGTTTATCAATTCTTCTTATAAAGATTAATAATATATTTAAGCAGGTATTGCTATTGCTAATTTTTATAAAATGTATCAAAATTTATATTTTATCAATCAGCACATTATTACTGCTACTAATTTACTATATTATAAGTATTTAACTTATTAAAAATAATTATTCCCGAAATAAGCATCCCTCGAAAATAAGCATTCCCATTATTTATATATATCCTTTGAAATTAAGCACTTTCAAATATTATAATAAATTATTAAATCTATATAAAAGATTATTGTATTTACAAATCTTAATTACCAAAAAAAAAAAAAAAATCTTAATTATCAATATCATCAATAATAATATCATTATTACTAATATTTTTTTATCAGAATAATTTGAGGCATATTGTAACAAAATACATTTGTATTATCAAGATCAAAATTTTAGTTATCATCAATATGATTTTACAATATTACATTTGTTATATTAGAATTATCTCTATTGTCATTGGATTCATTTTTATTTATCTTAACGTCTAAGCTGAAAAACTGCGGCAGTTGATTCTAAACATTGGAGTTTCTGACCTTAGGATTTTCTCTAAATCTTATAGGTATCCATTATACTTAAATCAACTTGGCAATTTGTCACGTCTTAAAATTTAAGATATATTAATTGAACTCGTAATAATGAACACAATAGCAAGTTTGTGTAATGTATCATAACAAATCCTAAATAAAGGATAACATTAAAGGGAAAAGTAAATTTGTATGGATTTTAATTGATTCCTTTATTAGTAACTCAAAACTCGCAAAAGAGTTAATTTACAACTTAAGCAAAAAGCTATTTTATTTATACAAAATAAATTTGCTACAGCTAACTAATTGCTATGCTATAACTAACTATTTTAGTAAATTTCGCTTATAAAATAATAATAAAAGATAATAAAATAAAGATATAAAATAGAAGATAAAATTTAGCGATAATAAAAACAAAAGAAATAATAAAAATAATAATTATAACAAAAATAATAAATATGTAAAGAATTTAATAAAATAAGCTAATCAAATAAAT